GTCCAAAGTGACCACCACAAGCATAGGAATGACAAAAATTAAGGATAGATTGTACCTCTTTTTGCTCAACACACCTGCGAATTACTTGGTCCGCACAGTACTTCCAAAGGTAAGGTTCATCCCATATGTATCGTTTGGCTTCTTTTTTGATTTTGTCTCTTTGCCAACGGGATGAATCTGGGGGAAATTGACTTGTGACCAAGTAGTTGACGATATCTGCATACCATGGTGCCTCTTTGGCTGAAAATAGATTCTCATCCGGAAATGTGTCACAGATGGGTTTACCATCTTCGGGTGATACGATGCGACTTAGATGATCCGCAACCAGATTTTCCTTTCCACTCTTGTCTTTGATCTCAATATCAAACTCTTGCAAAAGCAACATCCACCGTATTAACCTCGGCTTTGAGTCTTTCTTTGTAAGCAAGTGTTTTATGGCTGCATGGTCCGAATATATGATCACTTTAGTTCCAAGGAGGTATTGTCGAAACTTCTCCAAAGCAAAGACAATAGCAAGCAACTCTTTCTCTGTTGTGGTGTAGTTGCCTTGTGCCCTATCAAGGGTCTTTGATGCATAGTAGATGACATGATGTGCTCGATCAACCTTTTGTCCCAAAACTGCCCCAACCGCGGTATTGCTAGCATCGCACATGATTTCGAATGGAAGATCCCAATTTGGCGGTTGAATAATGGGGGCGGATGTCAACAAATCTTTCAAAAGATCAAATGCCTTTTTGCATTCATCACCAAACTCAAAATCAGCCTCCTTTTGTAGAAGTTGACACATCGGTACCGTAATCTTGGAAAAATCCTTTATAAACCGCCGATAAAAACCTGCATGGCCAAGAAAAGAACGTACTTCCCGAACATTTGTCGGGTATGGTAAGCTCTTAATAATATCTGTTTTGGCCTTGTCAACTTCTAAACCTTTCTGGGACACCACATGTCCAAGTATCAAGCCCTTGTCGACCATAAAATGGCATTTTTCATAATTAAGGACTAAGTTCGTGTCAATGCACCTTTGTAAGATTTTGGTGAGATTTTGCAAACATTCATTAAAAGAGTTTCCATAAATAGTAAAATCGTCCATGAAAACCTCTATGATATTTTCAACATATTCTGAAAATATGCTCACCATACATCTTTGGAAGGTTGCGGGTGCATTGCACAAACCAAAGGGCATGCGTCTATACGCAAAGGTGCCGAAGGGACATGTGAATGTGGTTTTCTCTTGGTCTTCCGGGGCAACCGGAATTTGATGAAAACCAGAGAAACCATCAAGGCAGCAGTAATGGGATTTCCCGGCCAATCGTTCTAACATCTGATCAATGAATGGCAAAGGGAAGTGGTCTTTGCGGTGGAAGCATTCAGCTTCCTATAATCGATACAAACTCTCCACCCGTTTTGCACACGTGTGGGTACCAATTCCCTTCGGAGTTTTTGACAACGGTAACTCCAGCTTTTTTCGGGACTACTTGCACAGGACTCACCCACTTACTATCAGAAATAGGATAGATTACACCTGCATCCAAGAGCTTCATGATCTCCTTTTTGACCACCTCCATCATAGGTGGATTTAACCTCCTCTGTGCTTCACGGGTTGGCTTGAAGTCCTCTTCCATCAGTATTTTGTGCATGCATAATGATGGGCTCAACCATTTTATATCCGCAATAGTCCAACCAATAGCCTCCTTGTATTTCTTCAAAATTCCAACTAACTCTTTTTCTTCTTCTCGTGCCAGCTTAGTCGAAATTATCACCGGTAGTGTCTCTTCCTCTCCAAGATAGACATACTTGAGATGGTCGGGAAGAGCCTTCAACTCAAGAGTCGGCGGCTGTACTATGGATGGGAGAAGTTTCGGATTAGAACTTTTTAGCTTCATGCGGGGTGGTTCAACTCTCATTGGTTGTGCTTTCTCCAAGGAATCAATTACTTCGATCAATTCGTCTTCCAATGTGTACTTGTCAGCCAACTCTTTAATCCCTATCTCATCAAAGTGTTTGCTCAAGATGGTGGTTAGCACATCTTGGCTTGACATCTCAAAGCAATCATTAGTACATGAATCAATAACATCTATGAAGTTTAAAGAATGAATATCGCTAGGATAACGCATAGCTTCAAAGATATTAAAGTTAATTACCTCACCATCGAATTCCATTGACAAAGTACCATTGGCTACATCTATTTTTGTTTTTGCGGTACTCATAAAGGGTCTCCCCAAAAGGATGGAGCTCGATTGTGGGGTGTTTTCATCACCCATGTCTAAAACATAAAAATCAGCGGGAAAAACGAGCTCATTAACTTGCACTAACACGTCCTCCAATACACCTTTCGGATGTACCAAAGACCGATCAGCAAGTTGAATGATAACTCCGGTTTTTGATAAAGGTCCAATTCCCATTGACTTATAACTTGAATAAGGTAAAACATTAATTGAGGCTCCAAGATCAAGCATGGCACGTGGTACAAAAAGGTTACCCATTTTGCAAGGAACCGTGAAAACACCCGATCCTTGCATTTTTTTGGTAGCCGTTTTTGTAACACGGCTGAGACATTTTCACCAACCTTCACGGTTTGATTTCCTTTAAGCTTTTTCTTAGATGTGCAAAGTTCCTTAAGGAACTTAGCATATCTAGGAATTTGTGTAATGGCATCTAGAAGAGGGATATTGATTTCAACCTTTCGAAACATGGCCATGATTTCGTCATCTTCCTTTCTCTTTTGGTGCTTGCCAGCCTTGAAGGAAATGGAGCTGGTGTGACTTTCACTTCAGATTCTATTAGCTTCTTGGACTTTGGATTACTCTTCTTTTCCTCTTCTTTGATAGCTTCTTCCACCTCAATCTCCTTCTCTTCTTCTTCTTCCCGGCATCTTTGGATTTTCATAGCTTTTCCCACCTCTTAATGTAATTGCACACGCATTGTGTTTTGGGTTCTTCTCCGTTTGAGATGGTAGCTTGCCTTGCGACTCCATCTTACTTACGGACTGAGCAAGTTGTGATACTTGTTGCTCCAAGCTTTTTATGCTCGCCTTGGTTTCTTGTTGAAAGCTTTGAGTACTTGTGGCAAGGCTTTTTACTATGTCTTCTAAGGGACATATTTGAAGAACTCGCTTGGGGAGGGGGTTGTTGTGGATGCCTTGGTTGGAAATTTTGAGGTTGGAATGGTGGTCGTGGTTGATTTTGAGGAAATGGTGGTCTTGGTTGATATTGATGCGATTGATTGTGCTGATAGTTCCCTTGTTGATTGCCTCCCCACCCTTGATTATTGTTCCATCGCTGATCACCTCTTGGTTGCTCATAACCTCTTGATTTGCCCCCGAATAGCCTCCCATGACTTTCGCTTCTTCATAATCTTCCTCTTGAGTTGTGGGCACATATCAGTTGGATGCCCACTTGGGTGCAAATACCGCACGGGCGGGGTGTGGACTGCACACCTTTGTCTTTGGCCAACATCATG